GGTCGGCCCTGCCTCCCCTCCCGAGGAGGTCTTCCAACTCGAGCTTGGCCGCGACATCTTCAGCGTAGCATGGCAAGGGTTTAGGGTTTAGGGTTTAGGGTTTAGGGTTTAGGGTTTAGGGGTACCTTATTTTGGGGGTCCTTATAAGGATCCTACTATTTAGGGTACTATATTAGGGGTACCTAATTTTGGGGGTCTTTATATTAGGGATCCTATTATTTAGGGTACTATTTTAGGGATCCTATTATTTAGGGTACTATATTAGGGGTCCCCTATTTTCGGAAACCCCCACCTGATGCAAGCTCTCCTGCACCGCCGAGCAGTCCCCGCCCTTAGCAGAATCGCCCCAAGCAAAAACCCGACCGTCGGCCCGGACAGCAGCAAAGGCACACTTGGAGGCCTGGATTTCCACGATGTCGTAGAGCTCCTCCCAGAGACTCCAAGACCCCTTAATTAAGGAATAGACCTTAAATTGTAGTAGGATCCCTAATAAGATTCAAGGTCTATCCCTTAATCTAGCAGCTCCTCCTGTACCATCCGACTGTCGCCTCCCAGCGCAGGATTTCCCCAGGACACCACACATCCATCGGTGCTCAGGTGGGCAAAGGCACCTGGGCAGTTCTCTAAGTTAGGGCCGCTTTTGGGTTCCCCAAAATAGTACCGGCACCCTCATAAACAAGACCCCAAAAGGGACCCTGAGTTAGAGAACTACCCATAATTATACTTAAGACCCTATAGAACCCTTCTAGTACCCTTATAGAAATCTTATAGAAACCTCATAGATCCTAAGTTAAAGAACTACCCACCTGTGGTCGATGCCAGCTTTGGACCTCGCACCCGTGCTGTCAGCGTCTCTCCGTCCTGGACCTCCGCTGCTTCGAGCGTCGTCGAAGGCGCCAGGACGACCCCAAAGGCTGTGATGAGCTCCTCTAGGGGCTCAAAGTTGAGGGTTTAGGGTTTAGGGTTTAGGGTTTAGGATTAAGGGTTTAGGGTTTAGGTTGAGGTTTGGGCTGTGGAGTTTTTGTTTTGGGTTTAACAGTGCATTCATTTGGGTTTGCATTTTGGGTATGTTAGAGTACAGTTGTATGGGGGCCATGAGGGGATACGATGATAAACGCCCGACAAAACCCCCGGTTTCTGTGGGTTGTGGGGGTGAGCCCACTAAACCCTAAACCCTAAAGCCTAAACCCTAAAGCCTAAACCCTAAAGCCTGAACCCTAAAGCCTAAACCCTAAAGCCAAAACCCTAAAGCCTATAAAACCTAAAGCCTAAACCCTAAACCCTAAACTCCTCCAAGCCTACGCCCAGCTCACACTGGGCCCGGCGCCGGAGGTTCTCCACAGAGGAGTCCTGGGTTAGGATTTAGGGTTTTGGGTTTAGGGTTTAGGGGTTTAGGCTTTGGGTTTAGGGTTTAGGGGTTTAGGGTATAGGGTTTAGGGTTTAGACTTTAGGGCTTGGGATTTAGGGTTTAGGGTTCAGGGCTTGAGGGCTTAAGGTTTAGGGCTGAGGGTGTCAAGGTTCAGGGTTGAGGCCTGAAAGTTATAAGTTTACGGTACAGGGTTGAGGGTTTTTAGGGTTGAGGGTTGGGGTACGGAGGCGTCTGGGCTCCCTTCAAAACGAGGCTACCCTTTTGCCTTAGAGCTGTAGAGCTTCGGGATTTCGGGCTTGGCGGCGTAAGGACTAAAAAGCAAAATCCTAAACCCTAAACCCTAAACCCTTTTTCCCGAAACTCTGAACCCCAAATCCCAAACCCTAAACCTTTGTTCTTAAAACAAAAGCCGCCAAGACAAGAAGTGCAAAATAATGAGGATATCTTTTCCCGAAACTCTGAACCCCAAATCCCAAACCTTAAACCCTAAACCCTAAACCCTAAACCCTAAGACAAGAAGTGCAAAGGGCACTACCGCGAGACCGAGGTGCCGGCGTCGCTGGGACCTCGGCCGTCCGGCCGCTCAGCAAGGTCACCAGCACCCGGATCGACATCGGTTTAGGGTTTAGGGCTTAGGGTTTAGGGCTTAGGTTTTAGGGTTTAGGTTTTAGGGTTTAGGGTTTAGGGTTTAGGGTTTAGGGTTTAGGGCTTGGGGTTTAGGGCCGCAGGGTTTAGGGTTTGGGTTTTGGGGTTGGGGTTTGAGGAAGATCCTCTGCCCCGGCACCCTTACGACAAATTCTGTGGGATCATGCTAGTAACCCCACAGCCCTGCAAACCCCTAAACCCCAAACCCT